TATACATATACATTAATCGTTATACGTATTTACCATCTTGCCATCTTAACCATGCTTAACTGGATGGTTTGGTGGCATAAGTACGTTCTGTTGCTATGCAACCATCACCACATCCATCTCTGGATTCTTTTCGTCTCCCAAACTGAAACTCTGTACCCGGGTTAAACAGCTCCTCATCCCCTTCCTTCCCTGCAGTTTCTGGCAACGCCCATTCTACGTGTGTGCGTATGAGCTTGTCTATTCTCGGTATCTCACACAAGTGGTTCGCCACTCTTTTAATAAGAAAAAACAAAACCTCATACCCTTTCCCACCAAAAAACTCACCAAGGGGACGAGCTAAATTTCCAAGCAGAACGACGTTGAGCTGGATTAAAGAGAAAGTTCGGGAGAAAGGCACCGTGCTCACACTGGTGCTGGCCCCAGGCCTGTGCAGCCTATCCCGTCCTGTGCTGTGAGGATGCCTGCGGCGCGGCGGCGGCTCTGGGCTGTGGGAGCATTCTGCGGCCGAGCTTCAGGAGAGTAACCAGGCCTTTTATCAATAACGTCATAGCCCTTGTGCAAATATGCATGCTGCTGATTTACCAATTTGTCATGTGAAGCTATGGGAACATCTCTTTTTAGTATTATTAATGACATTCTGGATATTGGAGGGGCAACCTTTGGTGAGACTTGAGCAGTCTCTCAAATGGCTAATATTCGTTCAACATTCTTTATACTTTATTGTCCATTATTTTACTTTTGCTTACATTTGTGATTTGGACCTCTGTCATCTTAAGTCATTTTTTAACATGCCATGTACTCATGACATAATATTTTACAATTTTAGAACAGCAATCAAGGGCACTCAGTTAAGACTCAGGAAGACGGCCGGGTGGTGGCGGTGGATCGCTCAGGTCAGAGTTCGAAACTAGCCTGAGCAAGAGTGAGACCCCCGTCTTCTACTAAAAATGAAAAGAATTAATTTGCCAAATAAAATATACGAAAAAATTAGCGGGCATGGTGGCGCATGCCTGTCGTCCCAGCTACTCGGAGGCCGAGGCAGGAGGATCACTTGAGCCCAGGAGTTTGAGGTTGCTGTGAGCTAGGCTGACCCACGGCACTCTAGCCCAGGGCAACAGAGTAAGACTCTGTCTCAAAAAAAAAAAAAAAAAAAAAAGACTCAGGAAACATTTGAGACATTGGATTAAGTATAACTATATAATTAGAAGGAGGTGTAAAAATTCAGTTTTAAAGTAAGTGAGTAATTTGAGTTACTGTATTGAGCGAGTTTATCACAACAGGAAGCAGTAGAATTCTAACTCAGCAAATTGCTATTTCATCTGGAAGACTTAAAATGACAATGCAATGCACTGCTTTGTGGAAGTGGCTTTTCTCCCGCAGAACTAACTCACCACCTTTGGATCCTGTGCAGGAGCGCGGCCCGGCCGGGAGGCGATGCCGCGTTCTTCGGTCCCTCTCGAGGTCCGTCTGCGGCGAGTTCTCGGACGCCTGGCCTCTGATGCAGAACCCATTGGTGGCAGCGACGACATCTCTTTTTGTGACTCTATCCCGAACTCACTGGAGGAGGACGTTCATTCTCTCAATCCGGGAAATGAAAGCTCAACGCCTTTGGTTCAAACAGCGGTCAGGATTTGGTTGGCGGAGCTGTTCCAATTCAAGCTCATCCCGAAAACTCTACAAAACTACTGATTTATCTAGATACAAACCCACGCCGCAGGCCCAGCCCTAGCTCAGGACGCACTGACCACGGAAGCCAGCCGGACCGAGGAGAGCGGCGCTGTCGCTAACCTACCGCGCACAGGGCTCTCCAGGTAAGGCAGTGACAGATTTCAGCCTCAG